CATTCAGTCAATGGTTTTGACACTATACTCAGAATAAAATTCAAACTCCTTACAAGTATCTGAATGATCTGGCCCCAGATTACTTCTATCTTTCTTATACTCCTGATTTTCACCCCTCATTAATTGGCTAGCTTTGCCTAGTTCTTTCTTATCCTTCAAGTCTCAGATTAAAAGTTATATTTTCACAAAAACTTGTACATGAATGTTCATAGCAGCATTATTCATAATAGCCAAAAAGTGGGAATAATCCAAACGTCCATCAATTGACAAAAAACCAAAATGTAGTTTATCTATACAATGGAATATTACTCAGCCTTAAAAAATGAATGAAAATCTGAGACATGCTACAACATGGGTGACCCTGGATGACATTATGCTAAAGTGAAATAAGCCAGACACAAAAGGACAAATATTGTACAATTCATTCCACTTATATGAGATGCCTAGAATAGGCAAACTACTTACTTATATGACATAAATCTGTATATTTCAAACCTTGGTGAGTGGACTCAGTAGGCAGAAAGAATATTCCTGGAAGCAATTCCTACACCAGGAATGGCTAGCAGATTTTCAACTATACACAGAAGTCACTGTGAATTCATAACTATATCTTACTTAATGCAAATTAAATGTGTTGTCAACTCAATCTCACCTTGGCCTGATTCCCAAAAGTGTCTGAAGCCACTCCAACACCACTGAAACAAGGGAAAGCCTGATAGAGAGGTAACTAGTATGGGAAGAGACTGGTTTTAACCAATTGTTGTTAAAATAGCTTACTTTTGAAATGTCCACATAAAGACCATGTGACCACACTATAGGATTCCTCCTGGCACTGGTCTCCATCAGGTCTCCATTGGGTCTCATTGGGTTCTTTAAAAGCTCTTCCTGTCTTTGTACCATAGTCTTGCCCTACCCTCCCCCCGTGAGCCATCTCAGAGCATAGACTGCAATCCTTCTAAAATATAAATTAGATTAGACTGCCCTATTTAAAACCCTTCAAATGCTTCGCATTACATGTAGAATAAAATTTGAACCTAACCATAATGGTACAAGGCCACATATGATCAGGCCCCTGACTCCCTCTTTGCCGTTATCATCTACCACTCTCCTCACTACCTTCTGGGAACATCAGCCTTCTTTCACAGATATACCAAACTTGCTTCTGCCTAATGACCACTGTTGCATTTGAAAATTCTTCCTCATCCCATGTCTTAGCACCTGCTTTTTTGTCATTTTTTTTGTCATTCAAGACTCAGTTCATATATCACCACTCCAGAGAGCTCCATGACCACTGTGAATCTCTTTCCCATCACCCTGTTTTATTTTCTTAATGTCACTTGTGTTTTGAAGTCATTTGTTCAATTGTTTCCTTGTTCTATTTCCCCACACAGTAGAATAAAAATTCCAGATGTGCAGGAAACTTGTCTATGTTGTGGAATAAGTTACCTTCAATCACTACACCAGTGCCTATCATATTGTCCTACAAAATAAATACATGTTGAATGAATATATGAATGAACTCCAAATGAAATAATTTTGGCTACTTCTCTCAGAGAAAAGAAAGCAAACCCCTGGTTGCCTAGTAGGGCCTGAGTCTGGGGTTGAATCGTGGGATGACCTTGGCCTCGTTTGTCTTCTTAACCAGTGTTGCCTGAGTCACTGAGACCTGCTGGAGGTGGGTGGTTCTGTAGAACAGAAGACAAGGGATAAACCATCACTTCATAGGGACCTCAAATGACAGTTTCGTTAGAAGTCACTAATTAGAAACCGTCAAAATTTGTTTCTTTATTTGTTGACTTTTCTGGAAACATTCTGCATATTTATCACTGTAAATAATTTGGTTTACATGTTTCTGAAAAGGTAGTAAGAGAGCGGGAATTAAGAATGTGGGATCTGAAGTCAGATTACTTCTCTTCCAATTCTGCCATTTAGCAACTTGACCTTGTAAAATCATTTAAATTTTTACTTTTTAAGCTTCTTTCCCTTGTTGTGAAAAAAACAAATGAAGACAACACAGTATCTGCATCATAAGGTGTTATGGAGATTAAGTGATACTAAAGAGGTTTGCGCAATGCTCATTGCATGTAAGTATTTCCTAAACATTAGCTACTTTGCTATTATATTGCTTATTCAGGACCTCCAAGCATCAGAAGTTATGAATACAAGTATGACAATGCTTTTTGGGTTTTTTTGAGGAAGATTAGCCCTGAGCTAACATCTGCTGCCAATCCTTTTTTTGCTGAGGGAGATTGGTCCTGAGCTAACATCCATGCCTGTCTTCCTCCACTTTATATGTGGGATGCCTGCCACCGTATGGCTTGACAGTGGTGCATAGCTCCACGCCCGCAATTGGAACTGGTGAACCCCGGGCCGCCAAAGTGGAGCCCACGAACTTAGCCACTATTCCACCAGGCCAGCTGGACAATGCTCTTTTTTATCTTCCTTAAAACCTGAGCCATATGTTAATATTAAAAGGTAAGTTGTACCAGCAGCACATGAACGTTTGTAAGTTTCTCACCATAGTAACATATTTAGTGTATGCTCACTGATACTCTAAATTCAGCTCTGAACTGGATACTTGCACTGTTTACTTAAACGTGGGTTTGAATCTTGCCATTGTTTTTAGAACCTCTGAGAACTCCTAGTTAGTATTATATAGTTATAAGCATAGAAAGAATTAAAATACTGACAAAATGAATCAGGAAACCTAAGTCTGTGCAACGCTGCTGTCCAAGTCTTCCCCATGGCAGAGCAGCGGCTGCAGGCCCGGCTGCAGTTTGGGCACAGGCTGCAGATCACCCGGGAGCACTGTGCCCCCGCTGCACAGAGGTAGGCGGCTGAGTCTTCCACTCAGGAGGCTGTGATGTGCAGGGTACTGTACAGTTCCTTAGGATTCATTGTGGAGTTTAATCTTCCATTCTGCTTCATCCCTGAAGTCATGAAAAGCAGACTGATGAGGTCATCCCCAGGATTCTGTCTGAACCACTGCACAGGGTTCACTGTGAAAAAGAAATTGCACCTCAGAGTGGAGCTGGTTCCCTCCTGGAGGCTCAGGGCTGAAGGACTCTGCTCCACCTTCACCCCTCACACGCCTGCTGGAAAGAGAAAGACAAACACATATAATGTTACTAGGGAGTGATTGATGAAGTTTGTAAACCTCTAAAATAACCCAAGAAATACCCAGGAAGGAGTCGGACCATCTAGGAGCTCTATGTCAGCTCTCCCTTCTCTCCTTCCCACTGTCAGCTGTGGAACACCCCCCACTCCTCCAGCTGGGACAGCCCCAACTCACAGCAAACCTGGACCCACAGAAGCCCCAGCAGAGCTCCCAATGTCTCTTCATGACCCCTTGTGCTGTTGCTGGGTGCCTTCACCCGGCTCTGGAGGATGTCGAGTCTTGAGAGTTCAGACAAATTTTGTTCTTACAGTCAGTAAGTTCCACTAGAATCACTGAGCACCAATCACACACACACACACCTGAGCTTTGTGATTTCGCTTCTTAACAGGAAACTCCACCCGTGATGGCGCAGTCCAGGCTGAGCGTATAGTGTCTCTCAGGTACGTGGACATGGGCAGGGGAAGCAGTAAAGCAACATATCCAACATTTCCAGCCTTTTTTGGAGAACTGTTTTAGGAAGGAAAGTGAAAGTTTGGATGGAGGGTAAGAAAAGTGAGATGACATCTCAGAAGGAACCAGGGTGTCATCTGGGTTAATATGTCCTGGAAGATCTTGGTTTCAGGGACTCCACTTTCTAAACAAGAGTCAAAGCATGTAGTTTGATAAAGAATTTGAGAATTTATTTATATGGAATGTCTAACAAAAGAATACTGTTTCATGGTACATATTTTGTTAATTTCCTTTGTTAGAAAAGTAAATACAAATAAATGAAATTAGACTAGTTTTGTAAATCTAGAAACTATAGATTTATATTCATACATGAACATAGCATATGTCTACAATGAGACTTTGTTTGGCAGGAAAAGAAATAGAACATGTATAGGATGTCCGCTTGATCTCATTCCCACCTTCTCCTTCTCCCATCCAACGTTTTCCCCTATCTGCGCATCTACATGACTGATCTGCCCCATGAACATGAGGTGAGGGCCATTTTTGCAGTTCAAACAAACGTTTCTCTTTTTTCCCCCAGTCTTGTCTTACACCTCTCCCTTTTCTCCTCTCTTTATTTATATTCCTTATTTCCCTCAATTCTTTGTCTTTTTCCTCAGAGGAGATAAAGGAGAAGAAATTTCATTGGAGATATTGGGATAATTTCTAACTCAGTGGAGCAGAAGTTCATTTTAAGAATTTTTAGTTATAAAAATTAGGAAAAAAGGAAATAGATCATATAGATATTTTCTACTGGAGCCTCCAGCCCCTCTTGGCTCTAACAGATGTCTACTCTCAGCTGTGCTCCAATAATCATCTCTGTCATATTATCATAGCCCAGGCACTCCTCAGCCTGATCCAGTGACAGATTTATGGAGATCTGAGCTTTATCTTTTTGAGCTTGTGATAAAATGGAAGAGCTGAGTAAATGACAGGAACACTCAGCGAATATTCTCCCTATAAGCATAGTGATTTCATTTTTTCACATTTTCCTCTGTCCCTTCCTCTAGGTGTTGTTAATCCTCATCTCCCCATTCAGTTTGTCAAATATTCATACACAGATGGGACCTTAAGAAAAGTTCCTCAGCTAGAGTGAAGCCTAAGATGCCCTTAAAGGATTAAAACCACCAGTGTAGACTGTCACAGTACTCTCCTGTCTTGTCACAGATCGCTTGGCAATCCCCACACAAAACAGTCTCAGCCACTGTCCCATTTGAAGGGATTCTCTGAGCTAGTTCCAGTCTCTGGTCTGCTGGGGACATTGTGTTTTTCTCATAAAGTGTCCTTTTCTCATGAATCCTGATTCTTTGAAGATTAAGTAAAGACCATGTCAGCACAGGAACTAAGCAGTTTAGTCCCCTCTGCCCTACTTGTCTTTATAGAACATGAGATCTTACTGAAAACACCCCAGGTTGATCCCTTGAGTCACTGAAAGCCTCAGATTCACCAGAAGTTTGTGTTCAGCTCCCCCTGCAGTCGCAGGCACTGTGTCACTCACAGCACAGAAGTACTCAGCCGAGTCGCTCCAATGGGCTGAGGGTTTCTTCAGGTGAAAGGAGGTTTCATTCTTCCTAAATTCAGCCTTGAAACCTTTGATGCCTGGAACAAGGCTGTTTCCAGATGTGTACTTGAGGAGAAGCTGGAGTCCTTGGTTGGGATACTGCACATACCAGAAGAGATACAGTGAAACAGAAGATGAATAGTTGCACCTCAGCTCCAGAGGGGCTCCTTCAGAGACAGTGATGTGCACGTCAGGCTGGGTCACTGACTGGGCTCCGGTTCCTCCTGAAACATCAGTGCTGTGTCAGTGAGACCAGGACAGACTTACCTATTAACAGAAGGTGTCTCTATCAGAGTCCAGTTGCAATACTGTACTTCTAGGGAACAAGGGGATGAAATGGAATTTTACTTACTCAGGGAAAAAAGTATCATAAGCACCAGTACAGGAACCAAGCTCATGGCTGAGCAGTGAAGAAGCTGTGGGATCCTTTTCAAAGATTTTCCCTGAGCAGGAAACAGCACTCTTGGAACAAGGAAGAATGTGTATGGTTGGTGCTCTAGAATCCTGCCTAAGCACGTTCCAGAGATGTTTGGAAGAGTCTCTTCCTTGAAAAATCTGGATGTTTTCTGACTTCTGAATCCTCTTCATATGTCACTGTCTGCAAAGAGCTCCAGCTGGGCACCTCAGCCAGCTCTCTGAAGGAGAGGCTGAAGGAATGACACAGTTCTCTAGTTGTAATTCTAGTTTGTGCAGCATCGCCCTCTGGAGGCCAAACAGAAGTAGCTCTTCTCACAAGCCTTGGTGTACCCTTTGCTGTTTCAGGCATCTTTAGAGAGGGACTCAGAAAGGAACAGGCTGTGCAATCTTCTCACATCAGGTAATTCAAGAATATTCCTCCCTTTCAACTGAAACCATGTATAGTCATAATCATCACTGATGCACCATTTTTATTGTCCTTATGATTTCAGAGACCTGATCTGATTTGAGGTTTTGACACTTCCTCCTTCTCTAATAAGTGAGTGTGTGACTCTCTATGGTCCATACTGTTCATCCCAGGTATGGAGACACATGAGAAAAGAGAAACTAAGAGACTTCACAGAAAAGGATGCTGTATTTTGTCAAATGATTTTTTTGCAGCTATTGAGATGATCATATGATATTTATCTTTCATTCTATTAATGTGGCATATCACATTGATTGATTTGCTCGTGCATCCCAGACATAAATCCCACTTGATCATGGTTTACGATCCTTTCAATGTGTTGTTGAATCCGGTTTGCAGGTATTTTCTTGAGAATTTTGCATCCATATTCATCAGGAATATTGTTCTATAATTTTCTTTTCTTCTAGAGCCCTTATCTGCCTTTGGTATCAGGGTCATACTGGTCTCATAAAAGGAATTTGGGAGTGTTCTCTCCCAAAAACCATAGGTTTTTAATGAGTTTGAGAAGGATTGCTGTTAATTCTTGTTTGAATGTTTGATAAAATTCACCAGTGAAACCAACGGCTCTTAAGATTTTTTTTGTTGGGAGATTTTTTATTACAGTTCCTATTTCCCTACTCACTATAGCTCAGTTCAGATTTTCTATTTCTTCGTAATTCAGTCTTGGTAGGCTGCATGTTTCTAAGAATTTGTATGTTTTTTCTAGGTTATCTTTCTCCTGCTTGGTCAAGTCTGCTGTTGAAGCTCTCTGCTGAATTCTTCAGTTCAGTCATTGTATTCCTCAACTCTAGGATTTCTGTTTGGTTTCTTTTAACGGTTTCTAGCTCTTTGTTGAACTTCTTGTTTTTTTTAAGATTTTATCTTTTTTCCTTTTTCTCCCCAAAGCCCCCCAGTACATAGTTGTATATTCTTCATTGTGGGTCCTTCTAGTTGTGGCATGTGGGATGCTGCCTCAGCATGGTTTGATGAGCAGTGCCATGTCCGCGCCCAGGATTTGAACCAACAAAACACTGGGCCGCCTGCAGCAGAGCGTGTGAACTTAACCACTCGGCCACAGGGCCAGCCGCTGAATTTCTTGTTTTGTTCATGTATTGTTTTCCTAATTTCATTTAGTTGTCTATCTGAGTTTTCTCTTAGTGCACTGAATTTCCTAAAGAGGATCATTCTGAGTTCTTCAGACAATTCATAGATCTTCATTTCTTTACGGTTAGTCATTGGAACTTTATTAGTTTCCTCTGGTGGTTGATTATCCATGGTCCTTAATTATTCATGATCCTTGTAGCGTTGCATGCATGTCTTGACATTTAAAGAAGTAGACACCTCTTCCAGGCTTTTACAGACTGGCTTCAGCGGTCAAAGCCCTTCACCAGTCAGTTTGTCCAGAGATTCTGGGTGGGCCATCTGGTGGTGTTTGGGGGCAGACTTGCTGCTGGAGTCCTTGGACACCCTGGTGCTGGAGTGGATCAAAAGCCTAGGTCCACAGTAGTCAGGCTGGTGCTGGGAAGTTGGAACTCTGGGTTTACAGGTGACGATTGGGAGCCTGGTGCCACAGAAGCTGCCCAGGGCCAGAGCTGGCTCATGCTTGAGTGAGCTGGGAGCCTGGCTTCATGGGAGCCCACTAGGAGCCTGGTGCCACAGGAGTCAGCCAGCACCAGGGTGAGACAGAAGCCTGTGTTACAGGAGTCCATCAGGATCTTGGGGTGACAGGAGCCACCTGGAGCTGCATGAGCTGGCAGATAGCAGTATGGGTCAAGGGCCTGGTGCCCTCTGGGAACCTGGAGCTGAGGAACCTGCCTGGAGCCCTGGGAGCTACCTGGGGTCACTGGCGCTAGTAGATGCTAGGGTGAGCCAGGGGGCCTGGGTTTGCAGGAGTCCATGGGGAACCTGGTGCCACAGGAGCTACCTGAGATGGCAGAAGGCACCTGGGGTCACTGGAGCTGGCAGACACCAGCTTAAGCAGGGGGAGGCCTGGGTTAGCAAGAGCCCTCAGGGAACCACCTAGGGTGCAGGAGTCCACCTGGTGCTGGAGCAGGCCAGCCCTAGGGTCCGCTGTGAAGTCAGGCACTCACTTTACTCTCCTCCCACAGGGAAGGTATCTCTCTCCACACAGGACCGCCTGGGCTTGGGGCACGGCTGATGGTGATGACGTAAGTCTATCTTCCCCTTCCCTCCTCAATGCATATTTTCTCCTGTCTGTGCTTCACTCAGGCACAGCAGTCCCTCACCCGTAACCCTTGGCTCTCGGGATGACAGATGGTTGTTCAAATTGATGTTTCTGGAGGGAGATGAGTGGTAGAAATTTTTATGCCACTATTTTGCTGACATCACTCCCAGCTTTATCCTGTCTAAATCAAAACTTTAATACTTCATTCAGTTCAAAGCTTCTTTTGTTCCCACACACATGGACATATGTAAATAATGAATGTTCTAGAGCCAGGCTTTAGTTGCCAAGCCAGAAAGACAAACTTCTATATAAAAATTTCAGTAAAATGTGAAAGGAAGTCAAATGACCCTGGAATGGATATTAGTCTCCTCAGAGGAAACACTTCCAAATGCTGGTATTTAAAGCTTTCAGAAAAATAGCTGCATCTTTACCTAATTGCTTTCAGCCAAAGCCTACCCACTTACAAGCCCTTGCCACCTACCTGGATCTCCAATTAGCTTTTTTTGACTACTTCATTCTTAAATGACTAAGTAAGCCAGGGACCAGCAGAAATTTAGAGAAAGCCTGCAATATGAATAATGAACATCAAGATAAACAAATTTGAAATTACCCTAAAGATAACAGAGATAATTCAGTAAACAGAAAAAAAAATGACAAAAATTCTAATTAACAGTCTCAAAGAAATGTAACTAAACTACCAGATCATGTTGGAACAGAAGAATAATGGCCTCTATGAAGAAAGGTAATTTGACAGAATAAATTATATGAGGAATTTGAAAAGAGATTGATATCAGGATAAAAAGTAGGAGAAAAAAGAGGCAACAAGAAACCCCATGGAAAAGGAAAAGCTGTACAAGAAAGAATATGTAGTATAGAATACTGTTCACTTATGGTTATAGTCATAATGCCTACCCTGTTGTTGATTTTCAACTTTAAGAATCAACTCGTGCAGAGGATCTGATCTAACCCTCAAAAGACAATCACCCAGGGGCCGGCCTGGTGGCATAGTCGTTAAATTCACACACTCCACTTCGGCAGCCTGGAGTTTGTTGCTTTGGATCCTGAGCGTGAACCTAGCACCACCTATCAAGCCATGCTGTGGCAGGCGTCCCACATATAAAAAGTAGAGGAAGATGGGCACAGATGTTACCTCAGGACCAATCTTCCTCAGCAAAAAGAGAAAGATTGGCTGCAGACATTAGCTCAGGGCTAATCTTTCTCAAAAAAAAAAAAAAAAAAAAGACTATCACCCAATATATTTCAAAGTATTAGCTTATAGAAATCTTTCAATCTTATCTACACATGGTCAATTTATTACTTACCTATAATTAATATTCTTATGTTTATGAAACAATTCCAAAAATGTGTATACCAAAATGTAAGTTATGGTTATCAGAAGATGTTGAGATATGGGGGCATTTTTATTGCTTTGTCCATTTTATTTATCGTTGTTTTCTAAATTTTCTACAATGACTATTGTAGTACTCTGTTAAATTGCTGATTCTCGATGAATCATGCTTTTCAATATTAACAGTCTTATATAGCTTATATAGGTCCCCCCACTGAATCTGGGCTGGCCCCATAGTGCACATAGCTGATAGAATGCAGGAAGAGTGATGATGTACCAGTCCTGACTTAAGCTTAAGCAAGCAGTTCTCCTTTTGCACTCTTAGGAGCTTCCATGTAAAAAATTCAACTACCGTGCTGGAGACGCCATGTGAAGAGACCACATGGAAATAGCAATCATACAATATATTTTTAAAATCACACACACACACACACACACACACCACATGTGCGTCTGTGCACATGTGAGCCTGGGGATGCATCTGAGTAATGAAGTGTAGGTGCCTGTAATGTGCTCAGTGCAGTGGTGAGATCTAATCTGGACCCTACTCTGAGTACTTGATAAATACTTCTGCTTCTCATCACTATAATGGAAGCCCTTTCACTAAATAAGAACAGGGCTGTGTGCTTTGATAGACTGTTGACTGTCGAAAACCCAGACCAAAACTCATCCTGATCTCTGTAATTATACAAAGCTCTGAACATTTTGTAATCATTCATTCCTACAGACTCTCTTTGGCCTGGAGGCAGAGAGTTACTCATCCACCCCGGGAGTCCAGAGTCACCAATCATTCCATGAGCCATCATTTATCAACTCACACTTGAAAGCCTTGCCCTGGGGACCATTTGGCAAAGAAGTCATATGATCTTTCTACAGAGAAACAACTGATCAATTCATTGATTTTTGTTCAGAGATAACAAGACCAAGAGTTTTATCTCCCCCCAAAATTCTTATATTTGTTTAGGTATTTCTCAATTCATCAAGAGCCTGAAGACACAAGATTTTATGTCATCCTTCAAACAGCTTTGCAGGGTTTGCAGATCAGGTTTAATAACTTCATTATACAGAAATGATAATGTGGGATATTGATAGCATTTGTCTGACGAGTTCTGGTTAAGTGCAGGACCTTGGTGTGATATTATTTTAGCCTCATAATAATGTTGGAAAATAGTATTATGATCCCCATTTTATAGAGAAGGTGTTGAAGCTCAGATACCATAAGTATTTGACCAAGGTCAAACCATTAAGAATCTCAGATTCATACCCAGAAATGCTTGGCTTCGAAGCTTATTCTTTTTCCACTCTATTTTGTTACAAAGGGGATGTAGCAAGGATGAAGTACAACTAGAATTAGAATTTACTGCTTCTAATCCCAGTGCTCTTTCTACCATCCCTCAGTGGCTTTTGTCCAAAGTGCTCAACATGGGGATTCCTGTTGATAAAATTAGAACTTAAAATTAAGCCTAATTGTGTTGTTTCTTCATAGTCAGTGACTCCTTGAAAGGACCTGGGCCATACTCCTGCTTCCCCCATCTCCACGACAGGGCTCTTTTCCTCTAGCCTACAACCAAGACATCATCCAACTGAGAAACCATAAACAAGAGTGGGATGAAACTCCAAGTGGGATAGAGAACATTTCGAACATTTACTCAGGCCAATATTACATCTATAATTTCCTTTAGGTGGAAATTCCTTTAGACAGAATAGTCTAATGTCTTCCTTAGATAAGCACACACGGCCTCTCAGATATGGGTATCTATTTTCATAAGTAGATAGAAACAATACAGAGCTTCCCCTCTACCCCGCCATCTCAACTCTCATGTCAGGCGTGTGGCTGGACCCTCCAACACTCGTTTGGGCAGAGGCTCCAAGGACCTGGGGATCACTGTGAACCTGCTGTGCAGATGTCGGTGATGGAATCTCCGGGCTCCAGATGTGTGATGTGCAGGGGGGTGTATTTCTTGTCTTTGTTCAAATGCTGTGAATCTTCTTTCCTCTTTTTCACCATTTGGGAGTATAAGAATCAGAAACCCTAGGCTTTTTCCACGATATTGTCTGTACCACATGAAGTACTGGAAATAGTGGGTCTTCTTAAGTGCAGCTGAGAGAAGAGCTGGCTCTGTCCTGAACACTCAGTGACTCAGCGCTCTGCTTCACCTTCAGCAGGTTCCTCATCCCTGTTTAGAAAGATATCAGCCAAAGGAGGTGAGTTGATGGGCTCTGATGCTCTACAATTGTTTGTTTTTCCATGCTACTATTCCCCCACCAAACCCTAAGATGAGCTAGATGGAAACACCCTCCCCTCCCATAGTCTAGCCCTATAGGTCTCAATAGAAAATATCGTCAAATATTGCTTTCTTTATTGCCAAAATCAAAGACAACAACCTTCCATCAAAATAATAATAATAACAAAAATGGTCTCACAGTCCTGATGAAATCACAGGAGCACTAGCAAGATTCCTAGGAACTCTGCCATTATTCCTGTCTCCCTTGTGCCCGCAAAGGACCCAACTCTGAAAAGAGATAATGACCCAGAATCTCTGTTCCTGCTTCAGATATTGCAAAAACAGTCTATCATACCAATCAGAAACAAAAACTCTCCCCACCCCCTCCTCTACCATCATCTTCACTCTCCTTACCAAAACATCCACAACAGGAGAATGGGACAAAAGAAAAGAGAAAGAGGGGCAACAGAAAGAGTGAGAGATGTAAATTCAGAGACTTGTAAACCATCTTGTGGATGTTTTAAAATGGACTAATAAATGTTCAAAATTTGTGTGACAATAAATAATCTGACACTTTGGCTAAATTTTTCAAAAGCTAAGAATCACGTTCACATTGTGTGCAGTGTGCATGTAAGTGTGTGTAATGTGTGTGCATAATGTGTGTGTGCATTGTGTATGTGTACACACAGGAACTGAGGAACACCAGTGAGCTAAGCAACAATAGTATAACTGCTAAGATTCCCTCATTTTGAATAATGGAGCAGCTCAGGGACAATGGTGACATGAGGACATTGTAGCATATGCTTTTTTATACTTTTTGAATTTTAGACCATGTATGTAGAATATCTATTTAAGAAATACATAAGATCAAAATTTTTTAAAATAGCAAAAGAATACGTGGCTTCACTAATATCTTCTGAAAGTAAAAAAGTAAATTAACATTTTGGAAAGCACTACTTTTGGGCTTCCCCCTGGGCTGTGACACCCACCCCACAGGAGGTTACTGCACAGGTGCAGCCCCGTCTGTCTCACTGTGGCATTCACGATGCAGTAGTACACAGCGGTGTCTCTCAGGGTAGCCAGGGGCAGGCTCAGGGTGCTGGACTTCCTGTCGTCAGGGATGAACAGAATTGACACTTCATTTTTCACTGTTTCCTTAAAAGCTTGAATAACAAATTGTGGTCCCTGGTTGGGGAACTGTCGGTACCAGAGGATGTACTCATTTGTAGCAATGTTGGTGTGGTTACAGGTTATGTTCACCTCTTGTCCTTCATATGAGTCAATGAAAATGGGCTGGGTGGTCTTAGTGAGGCTCAAAGTCCCTGTGGGAGTAAAAACATGAAACTAGTCCTATCCTGAAGCCAAGGTGAATTGAAGATCCAACTCAGCTGCCTCCAGGTTCTCTCTCGCAGTCAAATCCACCCCATACCTACTTCCCCACCATATACAGACACATAACATTTACTTCATATTTGTGTTTCAGGGCAAACATTTTTTATATTTATTCCAAGGAATTTTAGGAACATGTATACAGAGGGGGCAGGTCTAATTTCTCCCTCCTATGAATGGACCGGGGGCTCAGTAACCCAGAACGTCTTTACCGCCCTGAGACACCTCTCACATAATGCACATAACTGCCTAGACAAAATAGGACCCCAAAGCAAGACATCAACCTCTTGGATAAAGAGCAATTGTAGCAGGCAAGGTTGCAGATCCTTATCTAGACCAGATCCCATTCTTCTTAACCCCAAAATAACTCACCCAAGATCAGGAGCACCGTCACTCTCGTCACCTGCCTCATATTCTAGGTGTAAAGCAGGACCCAGGATTTAGGCTCTGTGCTGAGTCTGAGCCTGGACCTGGATAGAAACCAGAGAAGGAGTGCAGCAGCACCCGCCACAGCCCACACCAGCAGCTCTCACCCGAGCTGTCCCCAGGAGCCAGCCAATCACAGAGCAGCGGCTCCTCAGAATGGGCTTCCTCTCAAGGTTCAACTGAGCACCCAGGAAGAACGGGGGTAAAAACTTCCAGGACAACAGCATAGCAGCCTGGATTTCTTTTTAGATTTTTGTGAAGTTTTAGCTCCTTATAGATTTGGTCTGAATGAAGCAAGTACATGAGAGGGTAGATTCTATCAGGCTCCTTATTTCTCATCATTTTTCCACAGTCCCAGAAGGTGGTCATCTATTGTAGTCAGTCTGACACTCATGGAGCTCTGAGAATAACCCCTCTGACCTTTTATTTTATGCCCAGAAGTCCCCCATTGACCCCTATGTAGCCAAATGAAACAAAGAATCCTAACCTTATCCCACAAAAGAGCAAATGAGGCCATCTGACCTGGACCTTTCATTTCCTGACAGCTTGATGTCCTTTTATAATCTCACTAAATCCATATCTAACACCTGCTTCTCAGATCTCACTTAAAAAAATGTTAAAAAGGGGGCAGACCCCTCACCAGGTCCTACTGACCAGATGGGGTGAGATATTTGATGTAGAATCATTCACCTAACCAGGGAGAAAGTGAGGTGAAGAAGAAGAAACGGCACAAGTTCGGAGTTAGACAGACCTAAATCCAAATGCCAGCTCTGCCACCTTGTGACCTTGGGCAACTCCCTCCTCTGAGCCTCAGTTTCTTCATGTGTAAAACAGGAACAATAATTCCTACTTTAGAGTCAGCCTAAGGCACATAGTCAACAGTAAATTGCAGTTCCTTCCCGTCCCCTCCCTTCTCCTCTGACTCACATGCAGTTTACCATGGCCGGTAGAAAGCAGCTGTGCGCGATTGTATATGTGATTTTTTAAAATATCATTCACTCTTCCTTCAAGAAATGCCCCATATAAACTCAATAACGGTAACACAAAAAAATTTTAAATAACAGCCGTTCAGGAGAAGGGCCAAATCCGAAACACTTCCTAATGTTAACTGAATCAGCCAACTTCAGTAATTAAAACATGTTAGATACTTACATTGATGTGGAAAAGATAGTGGTGTGTTGTTTGAGTTCTTTGTTCATATGATGTGGGAACGGAAAATCATTATAAAATATTTGGGAGGTGCCTCCTCTAGGTCTAGAATTATCCAAGGTATAGTGAGTGAGCAATTTTTCCAGTTTCCCATGCAAAATGTCAGTGAGTGCTGATGACTTCTAATAACATTTTGACAGAGTAGATACCACAAGGCATGGACTAAACAACCAGCTTGCCTTCAGTATCAAGTGGAGGAGAAAGGAAGTACTTACGAGGGAGCCCAAGATGCTAGGACACCTTGTACAGAAATAAAACATTAAAGGGTTACGCTTTAGACTCAATTCGTTGCAACTGCGACCCCTTGTGGCCAATATACTTGGACAGAAGAAATATTTTACAAAACTCAATTGGTCTTAGAACCACAAAACTTATGGAACATCGTATTTCTTTCTTAAATACAGTAGCAGGTAGTTTGTTTTGGTCATGTGGAGCGTGGAGTCTATGTTATGAAATGAAGACTTAGACAAACTGAATTGCAAGCAATTCTCTGGACTTGCTAGTTGTGCAATTTTGTGCAAATCATCCTCTGAGAGGCACAGCTTCTTCATCTCTGTAAGGGAGATTACAGAGTTGGATTAAATGAGTATAAGAAAGTTCCTTCCAAACCACAGTGTTCCATACAAATACAAGCTATGTTTAACATTGGAAATATCACAAGATCAAAATGATCTCACCTTTTCAGGACAACAAGTGGAATGTGATGTTTCTGTGTCACCATCTATTATTTCACTTAGGAGAATATTATTGGATATCAAGCAACTAGAGGAAGAAACACCAAAAGGTTTTCTATGTCTCATGGAATGAAATGTCTTTGGGATGAAACTAATCACTAATGGCTGTGGCGTTATAGGTTGACTTATGTCCTTCCTCTGACCCCCAAAAAAGACATGTTGGAGTCCTAGTCCCTGGTACCTCAAAATGTGACCTTATTTAGAAGTAGGTCTTTACAGAAATAATCAAGTTAAAATGAGGTTATTTGGGTAGACTCTAATCCAGTATAGCTGGTGTCCTCATAAAAGAGGGAGATTTGGACACAGAGACAGACATGAATAAAGGGAAAACAATGTGAAGAGATACAGGGAGAAGATGGCCACGTACAAGCCAAGGAGAGAGGCCTGGAAGAGACCCTTCCCTTACAGCCCTCAGAAGGAACCAGCCCTGCTAACACCTTGATCCTGGACTTCAAGCGTCCAGAACTGCGAGACAACGAATTTCTGTTATTTAAGCCATCCAGTTTGTAGAACTTTGTTCTGGCAGCCCTAGCAAACCAATACACAGTGCTAATAATTATGTTATATATTGTATATGTGCTCATTTGAAAAAACATTTCCTATGTTCAAAAGATCTAGGTGAGTGCAGGAGTGTATCACATGCATTGATTTTATTTGTCATATATATGTATATGCCCTACAGGAAGAGCCATCAACCAGAGGAACATTTTAAATTTTTTAAAAGTGGGTTTTGTTCTGATTATTAAAATAATGTATTCTAAATACAGAATTTGGAAAATATGAAAAAGAAAAAATAAAAATCATGTGTAGTACTATATCAGAAATATCTTTGAGTGATGCTTGATACATTTCTTTTCAGTCCTTTGTCTATGCATAAATATTTTTAACAAAATTGGATCACACGTGCACACACACACACGCATTTGAGTACTCTGTGGTTTTTTTTCTTTTTTTTGTGAGGAAGAGTCTCCCTGAGCTAACATCTGTGCCAGTCTTCCTCTACTTTGTATGTGGGATGCCTCCGCAGCATGGCTGATAAGTGGAGTAGGTCTGCACCCTGGATCTAAACTGGTGAACCCTGGGCCACCGAAGCAGAGAGGGTGGAACTTTAACCACTTGGCCACTGGGGCTGCCCCTACCCGGTTTTGTTTTTAACAATGTTATTTCCCAAACATTTTTGTCTGTCGATAAATACACATAAAATTTCAATTCTAATGACCTCAAAATATTCATTAATAGAGACGTACCATAATTTACTTACCAATTTTCCTAGTATTAACTATTTGGGTTTTAGAAAGAATACCATGATAAACAACTTTGTACATAAATCTTTGTCTAAACTTTCAGTTAGTTCTTCAGACTAGCTTCTACAGAGGGGATTTCCTGAATTAAAGAGTAAGGATATTTTAAGACTCTTGGTAAGTATCAATTTGCTCAGTTAAACAATATTGGGTCAGGCACTGAGTGAGACACTGGACATTCAATGATGAGAAAGACCCAGTGGTGTAGTGATAAGGAAAAGAATTTTAAAAGCAGCGATAGTCCTCTGATAACTGCTGTGATGGGAAAAGTACACAGTACTATAGGAACAAACAGCAAGAGAAACTGCTTTGTTTGTGGGGTTCCAGGAAGACTTCCCAGCAGGAGTGACATGTGAACTAAAACCTAAGAAAAGAGGAGGAATGAACTTGGTAAAGACTGAGCCAAGTAAGAAGAAGTAGAAGGAAGAGCATTTGGACAGACCTGGAAGCAAAAGAATGGATGGCACTTGGGTAGATGGTGGTAGCATTGTTTCATATAGAAAACAAAAAAGAAGGAGCTAGTTTGTCTTATTCTGTTTTGTTTCATTTTGTTTCTGGAAGGGGAAAAGATGAAGAGTTAAGCTTTGCATCATTTAATTTGAGCTGCTTCTAGATTCTTGCAGAGAACCCAGTGAAACTCACTAGACAATCAGAAAAAGATCAGAGGAAGAAGGACTGAATGGAGCATAAGATGGTTCTGTGGAGGGTGGTCCCTCTCGAGGGAAGGTGTGCCCCTAGCATCCAGGCAGAGGCAAGTTCTCACACGGATGGGGCAGGTGACTGCCTGCAACCAGCGTTCTCAGGGAAACCAGGACAGCTTTTCTGCCCCCTCAAAATGTCTCTCTACCCTACCGTCTCTAAAATGTGAGCGTACTTCCTTGTTTATAGACCACCATCTTTCTGCTGTGTTTTCACATTGAGGAAGAGATAAGGCAGCTCTCTGGAGTCCCTTTTATAAGGACAATAATCCCATTCTTGAGGCCTCCATCCTCATGACCTAATCACTTCCCAAAGGCTCTACCTCCAAATACCGTCACACTGGGGATTAGGTTTCACATATGAATTTTGGAGGAACACAAACATTCAGTCTATAGCAGTGACCTACGTATCTGGTTGCTATAGTGCCCTTAGCACCCACTTTTATTTGGAATCTAAGACATAATTTTACATATACAACAATTGTCACAACAATTCTTCCAATTATATAACTTTTATGAATTAGGACATGAGGCACATAGAGTATAAATTTCTTATCCAATGACACATTGTTACCTAGAAGAAGAATCAAGAAATACAACCTATGCTTCCTAATTCTTAATTTAGCCCCCTTTCCACAGAGTTCTTGAAGTGAAAGGAAAGAGAGGGTGAAAAGTTAATATTATGAAGAGAAACTCTATTGAATCTCTAGTGTGCCTAAAGGTTACATGAGACAAATCTGAGGCAAAAAATATAAGGAATATTTTCCAACAGGCATAGGAAAAAAAGAATACCAAGTTACCTTTCCTCCTTGAAGCAAAACAGGCTGATTACCAGGACACAATGACAAAACAGAACTTCTAAAGAAATATAGTTACTCCTTTCCAGACACCTCAAAAAATGGCGAAAATGTAGATTCCCTCTTCTCTACGGACTCCCCTTTTATCACACCACATGACGAAAACAAAGGTCTGAGGGCTAGTCTGAGCTTGGAGAGGCTTCCTGACAAAATATTCTTGAGAGTTGTGTTTCTTTGACTAAGAAATAGTTCTATTTGGATAGGGAAATGGTATCAATACTTTCTAAGTCTGAGCAATGACTGGATGGGAAGCTTTTGTTCATCATTGTACTCCTAATGACAAGATCAATGCCTGGCACCTAGCGGGAATGCTACAAATTATTGTTGAATGAGCAGGTAAATGAATGAATGAGCTGTAATTGTGAAATGTCCTTCTTTCAGTTGCAGGACTTGCTTAAAATCTACTTAAAAGTATCAAAGGCAGAAATAGACCACAGAGAAAGGTTGATAGTGTAGCATGCTGAGAATAGCCTTCTGGGCATGAACTCCCTTTGGAGTGAAAGAGTGATGGGGGCTGAGGGCTTACCTAAATTTTGACAACTATATATTTAAATCTAAAATGGGGTCCATGGTTTTATGAATGCAAACATATTTGGGGCAATATTGGTACATAAAACTGCCGCTCTTAGACCTTAGCAAACAATGTCCCTGCTTTTGTCATGCACTTTAAAAGACTCCACCCCAGCCATCCTCCAGCTGCTTCCACCTTACTCCCTATGAGAAATCTACAGTGCAAAGGGAACACGGGCCTTTGGAGTCTAGATACCTCTTCTAGACCATGCCCTGGGTACCCAGGATCCCAGAATTATCTGAACACACATCTCCAGATCCACTTTTGAGGTCTGCGTGAGCTTCTGAGAACCATCTTCCCGGATGCAGATATCCCACCAGTGTACACGACTCTATGACTAAAGAGTGGCCAAGGGATGACTGTTTGTAGGAATCATAGACGTGTGAACTAAGGTGTCCACATCGTTGTATGTAAAGTCCCTCAAGGTATGTGATGGAGTTGGGGATAGGAAAATAAGGGGAGTAGATCACAAGGTGTAAGCCAGAGGCTGGAGGGTGACTCTCTCTGAAGCAGCACACTCCAGCACAGAACTACAAGAATAGAGAATTCAAAAATAGATCCAGGTAGATACAGGAATTTAGTATACTATAAATGTAGTATTCCAAATCTATCGGGTAAGAGTGAATTTTTCAAAAAGTGGTGTTCCATTTGGAAAAAAAAAAATGGCTATCCATTTAGAAAAAATAAACAATTGTAAGTCCTTATGTAAAAATTAATTTCTTTGAGGGCATACTCCTTTGAACCATGTGATTCGAAATGGAGAAACTAACTTCTTGCAGAATCCAGCCATCATTAAGTGGTCAAATGTGCAAGCCAAGTGACTAATCCTAGCAGCCTACATCCACGGCCACCACTGGTTAGTCCGGGGAAGAGCACCTGACTCACATGGAGTCAACCAGAACCCTTCCCAGGATATTCGAAATTGGAGAAAGAAGAAGAGAGAGGGAGGTGGAGGGAGGGAAGGTGGGAGGGAGAGGGAGGAGGAACTTAAAATCCAATCCCTTCCAAAGACATACAAAAGAACACGTGAGCATAGGAGCTGTAAGCAGTCATGCTTAGAACTACATGTTTAAATCCTCCCTGTTTCAAATTCTCCTTCAGTTTTGCGTTCTCCCTCTCCTTCCTTTACAGCTAAGCTACTTCTACTTCCTCGTCTCACATAGCATTTTATGCAATCCCCTATCTTAGCACTTACTAAACTGTTTTGAGTTGTTAGTTTACTGTTCTTTCCTACAACCAACAATTTTTTTGACAGGGACCATTTTGGAAGTCAGGGCTTACACCATCGCTGAAATCACAATCTCATGCCTCAAGGAGCCGATAGGCTGGTAGGGATGTGGAATGGTTAGAATATGTACCTGAGAGGCAGACTGCCTGGGTTTCAACTTGCCATTGAATAGTTTTGTGACTTGAGTGAGAGGCTTAAATTCTCTGCACCTTAGTTCCTTCAACTGTAAAATGAAGGTCATGATAATACTTGTGAGAATTCATTGGGTTCATAAATGTTTGGGATCATTCCTGGCACATAGAGATCAAGGATAGCTTCTTTCACCTCTTTATCATCAGTGCTTAACGTAGTACCTGGCACACAAGGATTCAATAAATATTTGTCAAATGAACAAATTCCGTGGCTTTAAATTGTAATTTAGTTATAGTAAGTGACATAACCTAGAACCTCACCACCCTCTTGTGGAGGGACATAAAGGCTTCAGGAAAATTGTTTTTACTGTACTCAGGGGTTTGTGTTCAGCTCTCCCTGCAGCCCCCACCACTGTGTCACTCCCAGCACAGAAGTACACAGCAGAGTCACTCCCGAGGACAGATGGTTTCTTCAGGTGGAAAGAGGTTTGGCTCTTATTAAATTCAGCCTCAAAACCGTAGCTTCCTTTAACCAGGCTGTCCCCTGTGATGTATTTCAGAAGGAACTGGAGACCTTGGTTTGGATATTGGACGTACCAAAAGAGATAAGGGCTCCCAGAAAATGAATAGGTGCATTTCACAGTCAGTGGATTTCCTTCGGCCACAGTGATCTGATCTTTTGGCTGAGTCACTGACTGAGCTCTCAGTCCACCTGTAAATTAGTCCACACTGCATCAGTGAAGCTGCTTAAAAGAAGGTAAACAAATAATACAAGTGGAAAATGAGAAGGGAATAGTACTCACTCAGTGTGAAGAAAATCGCAAGTGTTGAGATGCATGCAGAGGTCATGGCTTAAGTTGAGGTGTCTAAGGGCTCCTTTCTAGCCCACCTCTGTTGGAGATATGGCCAAACCTCAGAGACTGGGTTCTCAAAGAGGAACCAGCACCCCTGTGTCAGCAGGTGTTTTTAGAAATGGCCTTTCTTTGAGGAAACTTGGGCTTCCTGGCACCTGCGTGTTCTCTCTGTTGATCAAGTTCCTGGTTCAGGCTCCTCAGAGCTCTGTGGGGAGCAAGATTAATGCTCCTCTTGCACCCAGGACAAGCCTCACACTGCAACACCCCCTAGAGCCCACACACAGAACCAGGTGACTTTAGTGTCAAGTAGTCAGTGCTTCCAGGTCTTATTTTATCACAGGAACAGACCTCTGGATGTTTACATTTTCCATGAGGAACAGAAGGGGAAATTTGGTGTCAAGTACAAGAAACAGGAATTTGTGAATCAAAGTAGAATAATGCATGCTGAGTGGATCAAGCTTTAAATGATTTGTGCTCTTAAGATAATATAGAGGGACCAGCCCCGTGGCATAGTGGTTAAGTTCCTGTGCTCCACTTCGCAACCCAGGGTTCATAGATTTGAATCCCAGGTATGGACCTGCATCACTCATCAAGCCATGCTGTGGCAGCATCCCACATACAAAATAGAGGACAATTGGCACAGATGTTAGCTCAGTGACAGTCTTCCTCAAGCAAAAGGAGGAAGATGGGCAACGGATGTTAGCTCAGGGCCAATCTTCCTCACACGCACACACACAAAAGATAAAACAAAGACAGAAAGAATGGAAATAGAATTTTTTTGATAGGATAGGAAAATAAATAGAAAAAATAGGGAGAAGTAAAGCTTTGAGTGAAGAAGGAAAGAAAAACAAAAATGAGAGATAAGAAAAGGCAAAAACAGGAGAAAAGAGTAAGGCAAGAGAAGAGAAATGATAAGAAAAAACAAGAACTTTTTACTTCTCTTTAGAAACAGTTTAGAGCTGGCTTCTGTGTAAACATCATTGGCCAAAAGATGGCTCAGGTGTTTCTCTTGGTCGGGCCTGTTGGGACCCCTCCCCACAATGATCTTTAGTTAAAGACTCATACAATAAGAACTTGAACCTTCTCTTGAAGCATTTTTAGATACAGCAAAGGAAGGGATGGTATTATAAACATCTCCTGGTGCATTTGTCCGAATAAGCATCAGATTATAAAGCAAAAAAAGCCAAAACATTCTGTGGAGTTGAAAAAAAATAGAAATTTTCTAGAGATGCTACTTAAAAAAGAATTCAAATGAACTGCATATTGAGTAAAAATTGACAGTTAACTAAGTTTGAAGACAGGCAAAAGTTTTGTACTAAAAAAAATGCCACAATAGCAGTAGAGTGATTATTCAATAGATTTGAATTTAAAGCAAACAAGCATCAAAATAAAGACATTGCTCCTCTGATTTGCCTGATTTTTCCTTTAAATAACATCCAAATAAACCATATATTTTGAAAGAAGATGGAAAATCTCTTTGCTTTGAATCAGAAAAAAACAACAGAACATAGCTGCTTCTGAAAGCTTTGCTGTGGATCTCATACTTTAATAGTAGAAATCTTGACCCTACGATAATGTCTTTCTTTGGAACAGGTAAATTATCTTTAAATATTAATCTTCAAGCCCCAAGACACCTGTGATGGACAGGAACATATGATAAATTTATTCTCTCTCTGTCTAGAGCCTAAGATGAGTATTAGTACTATATCTTTGAGGGTCCTGGCAATCACCTCAAGAAGATGATTGGAAAAAAGTTCAATGAAAGGAATATTTTAAAAGTGGGGGCAGAATTAAGGGAAATCTACAACAGAAGTTGAAGCAACAGAGAGAAGACTTCACTACTCCCTGGCCTGAAGGGATGGAGGAGGAAGAGGTTGTCCTAGCCTGGGAAGAACTGTAACTGAGGGAGAATTCCACCCAACAGGGCCTGTGGACTTCAGCACAGGAAAGAAAAGATCTTAGAATGTAAATATCTTGACCACTCTCTCCTGCTAATCGCTCTCCTTGGGCCAAACCCAACCAGAAGCAAAAGGACAAGGGAGACCAGTGGATGCAGTGCACACAAGTCAGCTGGCTGGGCATAGAGCAGGATGGAGAGGAGTCCTGGAGAGGAAAATTGAACATCCAGACTCCTGACACAGGTTTACTGTTGTCCTGCCACTCAGTCAGGGATGTATCTCTGTCCTAAATGTACGTATGGGCATATCTATATTGCATTTTGATCAATGTAAAAAGACAAATCAAATTTAAAACAATAGTCCAGTATAGACTTTAGTGTCTTAATTAAATTTTCCAGGTAATTGCTCAATCTCTAATTCTCTATCCTCAGCACACACAGCACACAAGATCATGCCTAGATAGTGCAAGTGGCACAGATGTCGTTTGCCTTCAACCATTCAATAATTAATCTCAAGAGCTACAAATGAACTAAACCTTTAGGAGATTTATATTTTTAATCTAACTCTAGAAATGACTGACTGTTTAGTGGTTCTCCTCAAAGGGTGCTCATGGAAGGACATGACCATATTTATTAATTAACTGTACTCGTTGTAGAAGGAAGAAAGTTTTCCTCTGAATTTATGCTGCAGTTAGAATTTATGGACATCCATTTGCAGTGGCAGGACTGATGCAGAAGCCTTATTCTTCTCCTTCTTGAAAAGTAGAAAAGTTTAGTCCTCATGTTTTCTCCCAGTTAAAGAACTGCTTCTTAACTGCTGTGGAAGTAGGGAAGGAGTCAAGGACCTCCACAAAATGTTCTGCATACGCAAAGGGTTTCTACAGCATCAACTGAGCTTTCAGAATTGAATAACATAGCTTCAACAGCTATTTTGCTTTATATGCTTTGATTTATGAGATTAATGAGGAAATTATTCATCAAATGCCTACTCTCAGCATCATGTTAAGCCCTTTGCATTTCTTGTCACATTTACTCTTCCTAACATTCCACATTTTAGAGGAAACTAAAGTTTAGGAAAATTAAATAATTTCCTCAAGTCACCCCTAAAGAAATAGAACAAAGATTTTAACTCATACTTTTCTGACTTCAAAGGCATTCTTGCCACTAAATCACACTGAGAGTATCAATTTTGATCATTAACTTTTTAAAAACCTTTTAAAGGAAAGTAGCCCCATCATCATGGAACAGTTATACAATCATAGACTTGAAGGAGCCAAGTAGAACTTTAGAGATCATCTTGTGATTGAGTGGATCCCAAATGCTGACCCCACATGTGTGTGCCACTTAACCAAAACAGCCCTTAGACAATTGCTTCTAAACCACCTCTAACATACAATGATTATCCACCTTCTCTAGAACCTCTTGATCCATTCTATGCCATTACGGGTTTATGTGCAGATAATCTGATGAAAACTCAAGTTATTTTTTCTTATCAACTTACCATATGTGCCCTGTCTGGATCACACTCTGACTATTCTGCCCAATTCTCCAATTTCTATTGAAAGAACCATCAAGTTCACAGAAAACTGACAAGAACTGTTTCCCCAATCCAGTAAACTGAGTCAGTGCTGTCTGATTTGGAGTGCAGTCCCATGTGAGATGTGTGAACCAGTGGGGAATGTTCCCAAAATGCTGCAGGTGGAGATCTCTGCTCTCCTCCAGGGTCCCTACCCTCGAAGAGGTGTCTCTCTTCACTCCTTCTTATGTGACTATCACTGACGCATGCACATCATACACATCACAATACAAGGGCACTGAAGATGTGGCCCATAGCATATGACATAGCATAGCAATGTCAAGGGGCTTCAATCTGAGACCGCAGGTACTTCTCTAAGACTGCTTACTGGCCTTTCCAATAAACTGTTTATAAATATTGGGACTCTGTAAATGTCACTGATTTCCCAGAAGACAACAAGAAATGACTCACGTAAAATAATCAGAAAGCCCTTTGCAAATATCAGATGCAAATGTAGATTCTATTCATTTTAGAATTATCAGCGAAAAATAAGCCCAAGATAAAGTTGTTGGAACAAGGAGGAAAATCAGTGCTTTTTATGTGAAACTTTGACAAAGAATACAGTCCAACCAAGACAATCATACTTTCTCTACATAAATTAGGAGACTCTCAAAAGAAAAAGGGAAATCCATGATTTAACCTTCTGCTCTCCTACCTCCAATAGAAGAGACCATAAATCAATGACCTCCATATCTCTGTGGACTGAAGAGATTTTCCGGTTTCTCCGGGTCTAATACCTTCCCTCACCCAGACTCAGTTTCCTCATTGTTGCCTTGTTGTTTAATCATAGGTCAGGATACATCTGAGATATGTTGTTAAGTTCTAGGAACTATATTTTTAGAGAAATATAAGTCAACTTGAAACTGTTCAAAGTGCACAGGAGAGAGGGGAATCAAAATTGCGGTATACATATAATAAATGGTTAGGAAAACATAAATATTTAGTATGAAAAAAAACTACTCAGTGCAAATGCTGGATATGGTCCAAAATATGTAAAGGAGATGTGTGAATAGTTCTAAGTTCCCAAAGGTGTAGGAGCCATGGGAACACAGGTGCTGCCTCAATATAATTGCTTTTTATTTCATGACTGCCTGAAGTTTGAATGGACAGTATGGGAACAGCAAGGACTCTGTTTCAAAAAAAATGCTGGTAATTCTGTTGGTGATCCTGTTAGCGGATCTAAGCAGTTTGTGGACAGGTGGTCTAGGTTGCCTTTGAGAACTTTTCCTCCTGTTACGCTTTATTTCTTTTTAGTTTGTGTCTATTTTATGGAGAAGCTCTGAGGTTGAGTTTTTTGTTTTGTTTGTTTTGTTTTATTTTGTTTTAATAACACAGGAGCAAAGGGGAAAGTCACATGACTGGCAAATCATAGGTGTTCAATAAATATTTTTCAAATGATTGAAACTTTAAAGAAGTACACAGAGCTAGCAGCAATCCAGGCAATGAGAAGCCATTTTACATGCTGGATGCCAGGCAATGGAGGAAGAGCTGTTTCCCTTCATTTATCGTGAATGAACGGCCTTCACAGAGGTTCCCTCTTCCAAGGGTTCACTCAGGAACTGCCTTGGCATCCTGATAATTCCAGGAGAAAACCTTTTAAGTCAGTGATTCTCACAAATTACTGCTGAATACCTGTTATATGCAAAACACCATTAGAATTGAGACATTAGCAGGAGAAAAAGACATAGTCCTTGACCTCGAGAATTTACCATTTGTTTTAGTAGATGGGACAATTATTCATGAGATAAACTATTAGCAAACTAAAGCAAAATGTGCTAGAATTGTAGCAATGGAGAAATAGTTAGGGATATTCCATCCAAATGAGAAAAGATAGGATCTCACCAAGCTTAACGAATTTAGCCAATTAATTAAAGACATAATTATTCTAGTTCATCCTGTAGTAGGGACAGGGATGTGCTTCCCAAGATGTTCCTCTTGAGTGCAAGAAAACCATGAGAATTAATATTTGTGTTTATCTCAACCTATTTTTGTTTGTTCTAATTTCTATTTTTGTTTGTCACATACATGACCATAAGCTATAAGCATATAAATTTGCATATGTTGGAAGAGTAACAGATTTTACTGATAGAATCAAAAACTGTAGAGATCCTTGCACTATAGCAGCCCAGAGAAGAGAGAGAGCCCTCAGCACAGGCAGTACAGGGTTTGAGCTAGATTCTGAATGTAAAGAATGAGAAGAAAAAGCTTCAGTCCTCCTCCTGTCTTTGCTCTCACACTACTACCACACTCACAATCCTTCCGACACCAGACGTGTGGGGGCTTTTCTCACACCAGGCATTTCTACGACCTCAGCTGGGTGTCCTGAAATTTAACTCAATTCTGACACTATCTACCTGGAAATAGCATCAGCTCTGATGGATCAACTATAAATCGGAGGTTCCCATGAGCCCCTCCTCAGGTTTGATTAATTTGCTAGAGTGGATCACAGAACTCAGGAAAATAGTTTCCTTGCTGTATACCAGTTGATTGTAAACATGTGTGAAAAGGATACAGATGAACAGCCAGATGGAAGAGATGCATAGGGCAAAGTCTGTGGGAAGGGACAGTGGAGCTTCCATGCCAGCTCCTGGTGCACCACTCTCCCAGCACCACCACCTGTTCACCAACCCTGAATCTCTCTGGACTTTTGGGATTTCTATGAAAGCCTAATCATGTAGGCATGATCATCATTAACTCCATTTCCAGCCCCTCTCTCCTCTCTGGAGAATGCGGGGTGGGGATGAAAGTTCCAAGTTTTTAATCATGGCTTCATCTTTCTGTCGACCAGCCTGCATCCAGCAGCCCACCAGGAGTCTTCTCATGAGGATAAAAGACACTGCTGTCACCCAGGAAGTACCAAGGGATTTAAGAGCTCTGTGTCAGGAACCAGGGTCAATACCAAATATTAGAACAAAAGATGCTCTTATTGCTCTTATCACTTAGGAAATTACAACAGTTTTAAGACTCTGCACCAAAAACAGGGGGCAGAGGCCAATATACATATTTACTGTAATCTCACGGGGAGGGAGAGGGCCCTTCAGGCAGAAAAAAATAAACTAATATGAGTCATCTAGGAGAGAAAGCCAACAGGTCTTAAGGGTTAGAGAGTAAATCTATTTAATGACCCAACGGGATTGTGGGGTGTGCTGGCAGGATGGAAAGCAGAAAATTTTTGTTGGATTTATAATATGGGAGCTTTTCTGAGCAGAGGGTACTATTAATTAGATTTGTTGGTTTTGTTTTCTTTTTTCTATGTAATGTTACAAAGCCCTGAAGGATTTTATTTGTGGGAACTGGGCCTACGACAGCGCCTCTGCAGTGTTGCCTTAGTGGCCTAGTACCAAATGGTCACTTCATTTTCTGTAATCCAGATAGTTAAAAGAGCTTCAAGGACATGGTTTTCAGTTATACTCTTTTCGCTTACAACTTTTTATGAATTATAAAGCTATGTGAATCCTGGAGTTCAAAACATTTCAAAACATTGTCCTTTGCCACTTTCTCTTTATGTCCCACTCCTGACAATGGGGGAAAATAGAGAGAGGTCAGGGAGTTCTCAAAAGAACTCCCTATATCCCATGGACTATAGGATGTTCTTTAACATGGAAATTGATATCCATCTCCGCTCTAGAGATTTCTAAAGAAAGGAGACCAGAGTACTTAAAACTTAGTGGCTTACAACAACAGAAATTTATTGTCTTACAGTTCTGGAAACCAGAAGTCTGAAATCAAGTTGTCAGCAGGGCCATGCTCTCTCTAACAGCTCTAGGAGACAATCCTTCCTTGCCTTTTTGAGCTTCTGGTATTTTCAGGCCATCCTGGGTGTTCCTTGACTTACCTATACAGCACTCCAGTCACATGGCCATCTTCTCCCTGTGTCTCTCCCCATTGTCTTCCTTCTATACTTCTCTATCGCTGTATCCAAATTTCCCCTTTTTCTAAGGACATCAGTCATATTGGATTAAGGCTCATTCTAATGACTTCATTTTAACTTTATTACCTCTAGACTCTACTGCTAATTAAGGTCACATTCTGAGATACTGGGGGCTGTGACTTCAACATATCTTTTTCAGGGGGACACAATTCAGCTCATAACACTAACCCTTGGAAGAAAATGAAAGCAACTCAGCATTCCAATCCACACTCATTCTCTGTGGTGCCCTAACCTTCAGAAGGTGTAGAAGAGGACCCCAGGAGAGTTCCATGCCCCCTGCAAAAAAACAGGGAGGTTAGAGAAAGCAAGGCCCGTAGAAGTAAGGCAAGATAAGCCCTGTCCTGAAGTGAGTTAGGGTCTTGGATCTCTCATGGAGTCAACGGCAGATATAAATACTACCCTACTGAGGAGGTCCTCAGTCATTTGAAGAGCCTGGGTGAACCTAGATGCTGCCCCCAAGGAAACCTTACCATCAAGGCAGACACACCTAGCAGCTGACAGAACAGACCAGCCCAGAGGGAGACCTCAGACAGCTCCCTGCCACCTGCATTGGCCTGTCAGGTAAGCTCTCCAGCTCTGCTCTCCATGTTTATCCTCAGGATCCCTACAACAGCTTTTTCACTTAGGAATTTTGTATTTTGTTTTATTTTTATGGGAAGTAGACAAAAAAAGAGATGGCAATCTTTACATACATACAAACTCCCAGGATTTGAGAGTACAGGGAATTTTACTCCTCTGTAGATTATTCTCTTCTTGTCACCATTGAACTGAGAGTTTCAAGCTACCTTTAAGGTGGAGCCATCACTGAACCTCTCTTCTTTGTGATTCCTCTCCCATCAACTGCATTTTCTTCTCTTATTTTGTTCTTTTTCCACTTTCCCCTTTGGGTAATGGTACTTTTAGTGTTCTACATGGGATCTGGAAAAAATTTAGTAGGAAGCCTAGTTGTTGACAGTTTGAACAGTACAATCAAAATAGCAAGGTAAAAGGTAGGGTTTTCAAGATACCACATACATACTCCTCAGTGAACTGAGAAGAACATCCTAGTATGACCAAAGGGAATTCTCTTTTCTTGATTGCCAAAGCAAAGAGAGGGCCACACACTTCTTCACTGTTTGAGCAAAGACTGTACATATGACACTGTGTAGGACTCTTAAAGAGGAAGCACACATGGTCTCTCTTCTCAAATATTTCATTTGGTTAAAAACATAAGACTAACACACTTTTAAACAAACAATAATCCAGAACACAATATGTCTAAAGAAGTGGTACAAACATATACCAATTTATATTCATATCCAATGGAGATACTTTGATGTTATTAAAAATTTGAGTTTAGATCCAAGCTATCTAAGATATCCTGGTAAAGCTCTATTATATTTAATATTACTAGAATGTTCTTTTCTTCTATGGTCAGCAACTGCCCTTTGATTTTCCTTCCATATGCAAATATCTACTGAAAGTCTACTGTATAGCAAGCACTGGCATGTGGGGATCACTTCCTAAAGCCTTCCCTCTATCTATAATTCTAGGTGAAAGGTAGTATAGAATGATGGTTAAAATCTTAAGATCTGGGGTCCAGAGTCTGAGATTCCTGGATCAAACTTGGCTGAGCAGCAGAATCATGAGAGAGAACTTCATAGAAAACACAGACTTCTGGGCCCCACCCTTGCAAACTCTGATTCAGTTGATCTGGAATACAGCAAAAAAAAAAAAAAATCATTTTTTTTCCACAAAATTCCAGATACTTCTGATAAACAGGTTTAGGAACCACTGGTCTACCCTAGGGCATTGGTCTCTAAAGTGGGAGGGACACATCTGGATGGAAAGACCAAGATAATTTAACAACGATGTGGGAAGAATATATTACTACTTCCATTTGTATTTGTTTTTAGTTTAAAATTTAGAAATGAGATTGAGTTTTTTCTAATATTTCATATACTGATTGACACTGGTGTCCTCGCTGGGTATCCTGAGCAAAGTATCCTGAGGGAAGGATTGAGGTTCCAAACTCAGGGCTGTTGGTAATAGCCACTCATTCATTCATTTTCTTTCAGCTTCTTATTATATTATCCAATATTAACTAAATGACCTTTACAAAATGGACACACTTTGAAAATATTCCTGCAACGAGACTGAAGCTAGCAGATAACATTTAAAATGCAAGCACAGAGAGCAAGAAGAGAGTTGACATGCCTCTTACTTTTATCACAAGTTCATCATCATTTGTTTTATGAGGAAAAGCAAAAACAGTGTAATCACATCTCAAAATAAACGGGTCAAAAATATTTCAGTCAACAAGAGGACTATTGAAATATGGATTTATAGCACCATTATTTAATCACATGCTAAAAGCATATGTTCCTATGTAAGTTTGCTAGTATATAGTGTGTCTAGACTCAAATTATTTTCTGATGGCAGTGCCAAATGAAAAAGCTTGAGAAAAAATACATTAGGTGGGAAAGCAGTTATTGCTTATCTCTTTTCCACCTCTTGCAAAGGCTGTGATCTCTCCCTGTTTCTGTTCAGCTCTTCATGGGTTCCCTGCCTCTGTGTCCTCCAGAGCACAGTAGTAAGTGGCAGCGTCTGCCACCTGCACCTGGAGAATGAGCAGTGATGAGGAGAATCGCTCATATGTCATATTGTAGCGTCCCTGCTGAGAAGGGCTTGAGCCCTTAATAAGGAGTCTTGGTGCACATCCTGGGAGGTGAAGGTACCAGAAGAAGTTGTAAGCAGTGGATATAGAGTGATTACAGGAGATTTCTGCCACAGCTCCCTCCGAAGATACCACAGTGGAAGGCTGAAGTACTTGGTCCTTGCTTTCTGCAACTGCAGGGAACAAATAAAGAAGGCTGTGATTTTTATGCTGCTATTTGGCTTACTGATCGCCCCTTGGGTACAGTGAGTATTAATAAATATGAATTTTTTGTTTTTCAAATGAAATGAGCCCAAATTTTTAAATAATGATACTCACTTTTCCAAGACCGGATAGTGAAGGAGCCTACTCACCTTTCCAGAGAAAGCTGAGGAGGAGGCTCAGCCACACCGCTTCCAGAGTGCTCTGTAAAGCCATGGCTAAAATGCAGCTGGTCTCAGGCCCCAGCTGTAAGTATGATGCTCACCAGGAAGCTGATTTAAGACTGCCTGCTTTGCATTTTCTTCTTTGTATCAATGACATCACAGCCAGAGTCTGTGAACTATAGAAGAGTGACTACAGTTGTGAGGCTGCTTAATGGTGACTTCGACTCTGCTTTGTTCTGTGAAGGTAGTCTTAAAGGGAACGTGTCTTTCTTTCAGAGGTCACCACACTGTGCAAATTTTATCATTCAAGAAGCCAGCTTTCTTCTCTAAGGGTGTCAGAAAGAGTCACATAATTGATGAGAGATTGCTTCATCATTCAAATTAGAGTGGTGTATTCACATAAAAAGTATGCTGAACTTATCATGTGTGTTATGATGACATGCGAACATGTTAAAAATAATGATCATGAAATCTTAGCAACTGTGGTAGATGAGAGATGAGTTTTTTTAAAGCATAAAAATTTCCATGTAAACATATTTATCAAAATTTGACTCCTTGCATCCAAGGTGGTTTCTGGAACGAGTACGGAAATAAAATCTCAGTTACGCATTTCTATAACCAAAAGAAACTGGGTCAAGAAAGACCTAAAAGCTGCGTTTGGAGATGATCTCTTTTGGATGGTACCTATCCACATTCTGTAGGCTGAGACTGTCCCCTCTGTTATTAATGCAGGGCTTAATTGTTCTTATTCTGGCTTTTATTGTTTTATACAGATTTTCTTGAGATTTTTTTTGAAAAAGAAGAGTAAACAAGGTTTGAGGCAATTCATAGTCTGTAGTTTTGATGTGCACCACTGCTGCCTAGTGGAATACATGGGAACTGACAGAAAATCATTTCCTCACACAGCCTGAGACAGTCTTGGTAGCTTCTCAGATCTTGAAAAGATTTCATGCCCTTTGCTTTTGTTCAAATTCCTCATCCTAATTTAATTTCCATAGGGATATGAAGGCTATCCAGAGGAAATATCTGCTTTCTTGGAAAGCCTTCTGGTTACCAAAAGATGTTCTTCAATCAGGCGAGTGGTTTTTTAAACATATACTTCAGTAGAGTGAAATATTTCTCTTTCTCAACCTAAGATGGTTGCTTGATTCATTTCATTTCCTTTCCTTTTTCATAGTCTCCCAAGTCAGGATAAATTTGTTTCTTCCCTAATATTTTCTCTTTATTACTGACAGATTCCTTAATAATAAGATGATTGTTTACACCTAACAGAGACTTTCTATTTGTATTGATGACCCCAAAAAGCTTCCAAACAAAATAGCAAATTTCAATATAGCTGTAATATTAGGATGATAAAATCAAAGACAAAAGAACACAGGTTCATTTAGTGGAAGGACTAATATAGGTACTGTGACTAATTTGAGCTCTGAAATTTCTGACAACTGAAGCCTGGAAGGAAACAAAAGAGGAATACAATTCTACAAATAAGCTGATTAAGTGTTCGAGAAGCTTCTTCCTAAAGCCAAGCGTTATGCAGCTATAGATAACTTAAAACTTTTTAGATTACTGGTTATATACTCCTGGTTCAAAATTTCTGACTACTGCACAGTATTTTGCATGTGCTACCTCCACATTTACTTATGCAATCACCTAGTGATGAACCCGTAGGCTGCCTCTAACTGCCATCAACACAGCAATGAACATATTTTTATATTCTCCCTTATGAACTATGTGAGAATCTCTTTGAGGTATGTATCCAGCAAGGACTGTCCAATCATAGTGTCTACACATACTCAATTTCACTAATTAATCATTCAACGCAGCAATAGCCATTTACACTTCCACCAGCAGTACATGAACATTCAAGTCTCTCCAAATCCTCAACTACATTTGGTATTGTAAAAATTATAAAACTACCTAAAGTTTACCAATATACTGAGTGTTGTCTTGTTTTAATTTGTATTACTCTGATTGTTAGTGAAATTGATCCATTTATGTTTTCCGTTCTGACATTGCTTAGTCATATGATTTGCCCATTTCTAAATTAGGTCTCCAGTCTTTTGCTCAGTAAATTGCAGGAGTTCCTCATATGTTGATTCCTTGATGTGTTCAACCTCACAAAACCTCCTTGTAGTATACCCCTAGTCTGTTAACTTCGTCTATGATGTCCTTTTTTCAAATGGAAATTCTTCATTTTGATGGAGTCAAAGTTATCACTTTTTTAAAATATTATGGTTTGAGTTTTAGCGATCTTGACTTAGAAATCATTCCCCCACCCCAAGGCCACAAATATATTTTCCCACATGGTATTTTATTATCTTTATACATTTTTCTTTTACATCCAGGCTTTAATTCATGTGAGATTTGCATGTGTATATGCAACTTTATTTTTCTCCATAGAGCAGGACAGTTTTTCCAGCACTCTTTACTAAAAAAAATCCACATTTCCCCCACTGATTTGTGGTACTATCCTTATTACATACAAAGTTACCTGTGAATTTAGTCTCTTCCTGAATTTTATGTTTTGTTTCATTGATCTAGTTTTTTCTTTCTGAAGCACTACCACACTGTTTTTATTATCTTATATTTGTCAAGCAATATGCCTTATCAAGATCTCCCTTTAATCAGTCGGATTTTCAGATGCAATTCAATAAAATTCACTCTGGCTAGTTTAAGCAGAAAAGGAATATATTAAAAGATATTAAGTAGCCCATAGACTCTATAGAGGAGGTAGATAGTGAGGATTCCATGCTATACAGTCAGAAATAATCTTAAACACACCACAGGGAATGCTCTAAGCAAGCAATCAAATGTCATCATTACTCAGCACCAACACCACACATTCACTCAACCAGCAACAATGGCACTCAATATTGAATATCCAAAGCTCTTCCATTGTTACCCTGCTAAACACAGTCCCCGCTACACACACTAGAGGATACTTCTGCACATCTACTACTGGAGGACTACAATGAACAGTAGTGGTAACGGACATCCCTTTTTGCTTATGACCATAAAGAGAATGCACCTGAAATGTCTCCATTATGTAGACTTTCTTCGTATCCTGGTACATGCTCAGTTTTTGAGAATGTTCCATGTGTGCTGGAAAAGAGTGCATACTTTTTGTACATATCTCAAAGTTATTTTTGAGTATATTTCAATAAGCTTCTACGTCTAAACTTCTGCCTCTACAGGGAGCTCAAAGTCAGTGCAAGAAGACTACAAGAGAACAGATGCTATGTTTCCCCTCTCCACTCTTCTTTTCACCTTAGCCCCTGTACTCAGCAAAATTTTCCCTCCCTTATCTAAGTTATCAAAAATATTCTCATATTAATGAAAGGAGAAAAATAAATTCATGCGTGGTGGAAAAGAAAAAGGAAATAGGGTGAAGTATTGTGACATCAGCATCATGGTGGAGTAAGTTCTTCCCTTTGTCTCTCCCCTCTAAATTACAACCAGTTGGATATCCATTGACCAGCAGAGTTTTCCCTACACAGCACAACAGGATACATAAGAGATCCAGGCATCTATACAGATGAAGGTGGGTGGACAGGACTCCCAAGAGGCAGTGGAAGTAGGGGAGCAGCTCTCTTCCCCTTGCCCTGACAGCAGCAATGCAGGATGTGGATCCCCACATTGGCCTGCATACCTGCAAGAAAACAGATGCAGCTTGCTCCCTACCTGTCTCCTAGTAGACACAGCCTACTTGCCCATGAGAGGTCCCAGAGAGGGCAGGGAAAGCAGGCCAGTTTGTTACCTGTCCATTTCCTACCAGACATAGCCTGCTCACCTACAAGTGGTCCTGGCTGAGGGGATGGGAAGAGAAGGCAAGAAGGCTTACTACCTGCCAGTATCCCAGCAGATGAGCCTGCTCACCAAGAGCAATCCCAGCAGGGCAGAGAAGTGGCCAGCTTGCTACCTGCCCATCTCCCAAAAAGATCCATTGTGTCCACCCTCTATCCCTCCTCCAGCAGTGACCAGGTCTTTCCAACGGTGGGAATAGTATACAAAACTCAGATTTTCCCAGCTGTAGCAGAGCTCTCTGACCTGAGTTATCAGAACACACTGGTTAGCACCAGAGACCAGAGGCTGGACAGCGAACAACAACAAAAACCTCTCCCTGCTTAGCCCCTACTCCCACTAGCAGTGGCAGGTGGACCCTGTGACCAGAGGCTTCAGGAGCCACAGAAGAACTGATGACCCAGTCCCCAGTGGTAGCATCCTCAACACCAGCTCCACCAGCAATGGTGCATATGATTCCATAGGTCCCAGGCCCCAGGCAGTGGCAATGACACTTGTGAACCCAGCACCCCCGGCAGTGATGCAACCAACACCCACAGACTACTGAAGAGCAGCATCACAGGTGGTGTATGGGGCAGCAGCATCTTAGCCCACAGAGAGCCCATGGAGGAACATGAGAACCAGGCAACCCTGGAAGGAATAGAAGTGTTCACGGCCTGGTAACCTTGGCAGTGACACTTGAGACTAAAGTGAAGGCATTAGCAACCCCAGAGGCACAGTTGGCACAAGGAGGGCACTGACTGCCCCTGGCAGAGGCAGTGGAGAGCAGAAAGTGCAGGTTCTCAAATCCAACCAGAAGCAAGAAAGAACCAAAGTAACCCAAGACATACCCAAGAAAGAAAGATGGTTACTACCACAAATGCACTGGCAGAGGAATAATTCATCAAACACCATGAAGAACTACACTAATGTGACAGGACAGAAAGAGAATGTCAGCTCTCCAGACCAAATTTGAAGTCACAGAAGATTACAATCTGACTGACAGAGAATTCAAAATAGCTATGATAAAGAAACTCAATGAGTTACAAGAAAACTCAGAAAAACAGTTCAATGAGCTCAGGAATAAAATTAATGAACAGAAAGAGTACTTCACCAAAGAGATCGAAACTTATGAATAAACCAAACAGAAATTCTGGATGTGAAAAACATAATAAGATGAAAAATAATGTAGAAAGCATTAAAAATAGAGCACACAACTAGAAGGACCCACAACGAAGAATATACAACTATGTACTGGGGGGCTTTGGGGAGAAAAAGGAAAAAAATTAAATCTAATAAAAAATAAAACG